TTTATTTTCAAATTATTCTCAAGATTTCACTTTCAACATGTCAAAACTCTTTTCATGATTCATAATTCCATCCACTCTGACGTGTTCAATTTGTCTTCACAATCTCTCCTCTCTTTAGTAAATTTCTAACGTGATGTAATATAAATGATTAAGTGTCAAAATATACCCCCAAATCTAAGGGGATGATTTTGACTTGAGAATCCTTGTTTCAAATTCATTGTTGCTCAATATCGGGAAATTTCATTTTCATTTGGTTCTTCTCTTTTTTCTTTTTCTCTTTTTTTTTGTTGACTTTTCATGCAAATATCTTATATTTTAGAAGAAAGATAAGATCAAGGATCGACGATAAATTATCATGGATCAAATATTTGCTTCCATATAAGAATGATACTTTTTTTATCCAAGTTTTATGCTATTTGGCAATTATTAAACGATTGAGTAGATTATAAATAAATCGATCCAATTTTTCAATGATCCTCTTGATAAGATTATTATATCATTTTTAATGAATTAAAATCGAATATTGTTTATTAATTTGAGAGAGAGAAAATCCTATGAAACATCTTCGAATTATCAATCAACTAAAAATTCCATTATACGGGAGTTAATTAAAAAACGTACACCCATCCAAGTATTAATCGCGGCCAATGTAACTTGACTTTATTATCGAATGGATAACCATCTATCGCACATGACAAAATCGTCATGTTTCTATTTCTTTATTTATTTCTGTATTTATTTAGACGAATTAGAAATACATTACAGAATTATCATTTAAAATATCCAGACACATCCAGAATCGAACTTGCTTTGTATTATAAAAATTTAAATTCTAAATTTTACTACGACAAGAATATTCTTCTGAAAAGAATCTTATTAATAAACTGTCACAGTTGCATTATCTCTTTCAATTTCACTTTTCACGAGCAACACGTAACACGTTGATTCCAAAGAGCCGGCAAAGCATCGCCTCATTTGGTAGCTAAATTCGTTTGCTCGTAATGGGGCATCAATTACACGCTGATGCACAACGCTCAGGGTGCGTTCACGCATGGAGCAAGAGAGAGAGGAAAGGACGGTTACGCAACGTGAAAGTCGTCGACGTTGGAATTCATTCTTACTTCCCAGCTTGCCCTGACCTCCGAGATAATGAGAGTGATCTGAATAATCTGGTTCGGTATGTATTTGGCAATGTGTTGGCCAGCCTAATGAGTATCGGTGTGCTACCCTCGATTTCTTTTTCATTTCTCGCAACGAGAATGATTAGCATACGGCTCTCCTTGCGTAATTCTGGCCCAACGTAATTGCTTACTTACTTTGTATACACACACGTGCGTGGGTACGCACCAGAGATTAAGAGATTATTATCTATAGATCAGAGTTTCTCAACTTATTGCCGTGTTGAAGAGAGAATAATAAAGTGGTCTGATTTGGATTTAGCTGAAAAACTCCATTTTGAAATAAAGAAAATATTCTATCGTTTACTTATTAAATTGATCTTTGCAATTCGATGTATGGATCATTTTTGATCCGCTTGATAATCTCTAACTCTCTTCTCTCGCCTAACATTTGTACAAATATAAATCTTCACTTTGAAAGGTGTTACAAATCACAAACCATAAATCGCCTTCTGCATCCAATTCTACTTACACGGAATTCAATATTTGTAAAATGTGTCTTATTAATTATTCTTCATCATTTTATTTTTACATGTATCATTTTACACTTATCTTCGTGTTGTCATTCAATTTTGAATTAAAAAAATAAGAATCGTTCCATTATTCAAATATCCAAAGTATTTTAAATTATTGAAAATATTCAGATCACGATTAACTAATTAACTATGTTGGGTCACGTGGTAAAATAATTGAGAAACGCTGTTCTAGATGGCGTTACACGTTGCGTGTCCTCATTGTATCGCGGAGAAAAGAAAGCTATGCGAATTTTTTTTCTTCTTTTCGACGAGAATGTGGATGAAGATAATTGATCTTTTGATTGACTGGTCGACGAGGACAATTTATTTCAAGCAATTTTGCGTCCAATATTATACTGTTTCGTAATATACTGTTAGGGAATTGGATTGAGGGAAAGAGAAAAAAAAGAATAACTTGAACGCGTAATTTTTAAAAATGGGACGTGTAATCCCACTTTTAATGATCACCTGTGTTTCCTAATAGCCTTTATATATCGGCAATGAGAAGAATTAAGAAATAACCATCGATTTTTTTTGTTAACAAGTTTGAAAAAAAATAAATTCGTGATCTCTGCCAATGATCTGATTTTAATGATCAACGTTTTATCCTCGATTTCATAACATCGGCTCTAATTTCCATACAACCGTGTTGTTTCCTCCTCTCTGAAACGTAAAAATTGAAGAGAAAAAGAAGAATCACAAGTGACTCGGTTGGTCCACGAAGCCGAAACACCACCACGTAGAAGAGCCACGACTCCATTGTTCACGGGACACAGGTTAATCGAATATTAATGACGAAACAGTACCAGCCAACTGTAATAGAATGAACTCCAACGGTGATGCATTAATGTATATCATCATGTACTCTCGTTTCTTCTGTCTGTGATCGTGTGTTTGGCGAGTAACGGGCCATGGCGTGAAATATATCTCGGATACGTTTGGAGTTGGGGCTAATGTTTGATTTGCAATCGGAGAAACAATTTTTTTATTACAAAGAGAAGTCATCGAAACACTTTGATCTTCGTTGAAATAGAAGATAATTCAAGAAATTTTTATTATTATATTATATAAAGAAATATTTTAATCGTAATTAATGATAATTATTCATAAAAATATCTTTAATTGTATAATCGTATAATGTAATGTAATATTTTAATGTAAATTCAACGAGTCTGTTCAACGACTCGATGTAATTTAATTAAAAGTGTATAACTGTAATCCCATCAATTGAAATTCAGATACGCGAATATTTCTTTCTTTCTGCTATCTCAAAAATATATATATACATTTCGAATAGAATTTAAATTTACATTATCATAAATATTTATCCACGATTCTTATTATATATTGGAAAAGGAATAAAATTGAAAATTATTCATAATTCTTGATAATCCCAGTCTATTAAATTTTATTAATATTGACTGTGTATTTATCAAAGCTGACCGTTAACCTATCAAATTACATTCTTACATTTCATTATTCGTGTGCAATGATTATCAAATCTCAATTATCAAGCGATATTTAAAAATTTCTCTTCGAATTTTTTTTTACTTATTTCGACATGGACTCGTTAATTAATGGAAGAAAAATCATTCCATTACCTGGTCCCTGGGGAAGGAAAAATGGGCGCCATCATATCGCAACCGCGCTTCCAAAGCTTAAATTAATAATTTATCGACGATTTGGAGGATATACGCGCGATTCTTCCCATAATTTATAGCCGAATGTAAAAACATCGGCCGGTTGTCCCGGCTCCACGTACAATGGGGGCGTATAAATCGCTGAATCGATTTGCAAGCGGTTTACATCGTATTTCCGCCATCTTGAATTGATTTACAGCTAGTACTAATGCGCGAGTTCCCAATGATTGTTGTTGCCGTCCTTTCCTCGAAACGTCCTTTCCACGAATGTATTTTAACGTGGGTGTTTTATCGCCGATACAACACGTCCGGTTTTATGAGCAACGACGGAATTTATCGTCGATCGAGGCTCGCTCGCCAGGCTAGATTAAATTACAATCTCGTCCACCACCCTCCCCTCCTTTCTTTGCCCAAAGACAAAGAGGCTGTTCAATTCTTAACGGCTCGCGATAAATTTAAACCGGCTACCTCTAATTACGATTTTATCCCTCTGGTAAAATTTTCTTTTTTTTTTTTTTTTTCCTAGTTAAATTATAATCCAATTAATGTAATTTTTTCCCAGATCAATCGTCGAAATGATTTGGATTTCGTGGATTTTTTTTTCGTTACGAAAAAGTTTTTATTCCAATTGAAATCATTTATAGATACTCAGGATATTATAGTAAACTAGTATCAGTTGTTAAGAATTAAGTATATTTTCCTGGTCGATCGAAATATGAAGAAACTTTTTTATGAAATGTTTTTAAAAGTCGAATATTCCATCTTGTCTTTTGAGATAGGAATTATCCACTCTATTTTATTTTAATGATTCTAGTCTTCACTATCATCACGTGTAATGTATATATTTAGACACTATAGCTCCAGTGTTTTAAGAATCTATATATTTTTCTTTACTTGATCAAAGTAAAAGAAAACATTTTTGTGTACCAATTATTCTCTACAGTTTTATCCTCTTCAAACGTTTCACGAATATACCCCATGTATTATTAAAACGCCTATCTATAAATTATCTTCGATGTAACCGAGAGTCTTGTGATTCGCGAAAATCTCGTAAAATGTTATTATAAATGTTATTATTAAAAATCGTTTCTTGACAGTACGAAAGTATAATGGTGGTTTTTCATCCGTGGAAGTGGAGCAACGGTAACGTTTGTCACGAGCCACGCGAGCTTGTTAACGAACCGCCACTGCGAAACGAAGTGCAAGCCTCGCCCCTCGCCTCGCCTCTGACACAGATGCCACCGCTTGCGTGTCCCTTCCCTCCACGAGAAAGCGAAAATTACCAATCCATCCGATCTAATTTTGATTCATTCCGTGAAAGTTTGTGCGCGAATCGATTGTTACATAGTCTCAGCGACAGTTTCATAGATATTAAATCTCTCTCTCGTAAGAGTTCCATTACTTTTTTTTTGGAATTGTTATATACAGATGCAAATCTATATTCCGTGCAATGAAAAATTTATTATTAAATCTGAACGAATAGATTAAATAATTCTGCTCAAAACGTTGTTGTAAATTTTAGTAGATTATTTTTTTCTAACTCTAATAAATAATTTTCTAATAAATGTAAATCTGAGAGAAATGTTCAACAAGCTGGAATAATCGTGATGATCTCGTTCGTATATGTACGTAACGTTAGCTTGAAATGTATTTTATTCCTGTTGCAGGCTGGTTCTCCGTTGTCTCGAACAACAGTGGTACCGGAAGTGCCAGGGTGTATCGAAGAGTGGGTGCCTTGGTTCGAGCTGGTGTCCCAGCGTTTCTCCTTGCCAAACCTCTGAGAGCCTACACTCTGACACACTCCAAAATGGGTAAGTTTGTTCGATATCGTAATACGTGAATGCGAAATGTACAAGAATACGTGATCTTTAATAATAATAATAATAATAATAATAATAATAACAACTGTATTATATGTTATTTTTTGTTTTTTTATTTATAATGCCAGGAAGAAATGTTCAATGCAAGGAGAAAATATAACGTATTGAATTTTTAATCGAATTAATTTTTAATCGAAGTTAAGTTATTTGCAAATATAGTTTGTAGTAGAAAAATGTTTTATTAATTAGACGTGTATTATGCGTTTCCTATGATCGAACGGAAAGAGGCTATAACTTTTGTTTAGAATGAATAAATTGCTTTATTACGTGATGCAACGGTAAATGAAGAAGAAAAGCAAATTTATGAGGAAACGACTCGTTTATGAAGTGATTAACTTCTGCACTTTCGTTTGCTAAAAGGAAAACAGAAAGTGGACGTCGTAAAGAATTAATGGTGGTTCGGTGTCCTGAGAAAAAGATTCTACTGTCGGATGATTATTTTAATGGCAGATAATGCTCGTAGATTTAATGCTTAAAAAACGATTGATAAAAGTGTTATGACGCAGTCATAATCATTTTCAACGCACAATCCTTTTCCTTTTCTCCCCTAAACACTGAGAAACTTCAACATATTCGAGACGGATATTGCATATCTTTCGAGAAGCAAACGAAATTATATTTATACAAGAATATTTCAGAGACAACTACTAAAACGTCCCCTGCATACACTTTCATCCCTCAAACGAAAATTCTACGAAACCTTCTTCGAAAATTCTCTCCATAAAATTTTCTTTTTCATAATTTCGAATTAATTATTAATTTCGAATAATTTCGAATATTTCCTGAAAAATGACCTGACCTAACCTGACCTGACCCAAGATTCACATTTTATAAAAAATTTCCACGCAAAAATCTGGTGGAAAAACACGGAAACAGGATCCCTCCAGAGGCCACGTGGCCGTGTCGAAGCCAGGATTGTCCCTATCGCGGCTCCCCCTTCGTCTAGGACGTGACAACGCATCCCGCTTCGGTATATACGATGCGTGCACTCACGCACGTAAGCAGCGGCGCGGATTATTCCCCTGGGTGCAGCGACTGGCCGTGACACGAATGTCAATGTGTCTGTTAATGCGAACTGGCCGGCGCGGTTTGCCCGCGCGTTTAAACGTAGGCGAGGGGCACGTAACGTAATAGGCACGCGGCCCGGTGAAAGCCGCCAAGGGTTCTTACGATACGCAACCGGCCCTCGCCGTCCCATTATGCACCGTAACGATTATACAGCCGCGCCAAACGCCATTTCTATGCCCACTTCTCTCCCCTATATAAAAGTATACGCGATATATATATATATATATATATTATATATATATTCTACGTACGTGAGATATATAGTGATGTTTGCGTGGGGGGAGAGGTAAGAGGAAGAGCGTAAAATTTGCAATTTTTTGGATATATATTTTAGAGAATTTTTTATAGAGATATTTTTTAGATAATTAATCATAAGGTGGATACGTAGAGATAAGAATGTGTAAAATCGTGAAACCGTTTGAAGTGGCCGCCAGCTGAATTCTTCTTCGCGAGGAGATAAAATTCCCGGGGTTGTAATGTTAACACTGTTATTAGTTGCTTGGAAAAGATTTATTAAGCTGGGTAATGGAATAGAGCGGATGGATGGATGGATGGAAGCTCGTTTTGTTAATGATAGCGTGGGTAACTGAGACAGGTAATTGGAATAATGAGGCGCTTTGTTGCCAACTGTGAATTGAGATACGTGTTATACGTGAATAACGCTTTCGCCAGTCGGGAACAGGGGACATAGTTCAAAAGCGAATAGTATCTTAGTTTTATACTTACTTTTATACCCCCCTCTTTTCCAATCTTTTTATCAAATTTCCACGATCGAAACTGTTCGCGATTCGTTTCATTACTCGTTAATTAAAAATTGCCCTCCTGTCGATGATCGATCGATTAATTCCGTTTCAGAGAACGGGAACCTGAGGGCCCACTACACGAAAACGACGGTGAGGGCCGGTGAGGTTCTGCGACTGGCCGCGGTTTTCCAGGACACGCGGAGGGCGCCTGTCCTGTCGAGCGGTGTTTCCGGGGTGGTCAGCGCGCCGGAGGGCAAGAGTTCAAGGTCGTCGGAGCGAGACCAGTACGCCCAGTGCTTGGATTCCCACGGCCACGAACTGTTCGCGCCCCTCTCCGCGCGAGGAGAGTTCTACGCGACTTGCCAGAGCGGGAGCCTCGATACCGGAAGCGACGCCGTCCTCTACAGGGTCCACCAGCTCGCCAGAAGGGACCTGCCTCTAAGGGTGAGCCTCGAAAAAAGAAGAAAAGGAATGATACGAAACTCGAGAAACTTTTATATTCCTTGAAAATATTTCCCGAGCTCGTGAATATCGTTTGATCAGGTACGACTGGTCGCTGGACCATTGCCCATACCGTTGCCGCGAGATTACAGCGGCCTGATGCAGCTGGAAGGCGCGACAAGGGGCCCCATAGTGCTGGGATGCGCGGTACCTTTGATGCCCGAGAGGCCCCTGCCCAACTCCACGGTCCCGGAACTCCTCGAGCTGGTCGCGACGGGACCGACCGCGCCACGAGTGAAGAGGGCAAGGCTAGGCTGCCCGTCCGAAGCTCGGCTCCTCGCCTCGCCCAAGATGCAGCGATTACTCTCGGCTTGCAGGTGAATTTCGACAACGAGGATATAAATAGAATAATATATATATATATATATCGATCGAAAACGCGTTCCTCGTCGTTCCAATTGGAGAATCCAACGAGGGGAGGTTAATTCTCTCTCTTTTCCCCTTTTTCGAATTGCAGGAGGGCGTTGGACCAGAGGGCGACGGAGCCGCGGGTGGCGCCACCCAAGCCGCCGGCGAGCGGCGGCCAGTTAAAGGAGCTCCACCTGAAGGAGATCAAGTCGAAGCCGGAAGCGAAGCCGATCCTCCAGAGTCTGAAGGAGGGGTTGGAGCACATTAAACGGACAACGATCAGGGATCGGAGCAACGGGCGGGCGACGGGCGGGGGCGGCAACAACCACGGCTTCCTCGACCGGATCTCGAGGATAGCCCAGGGTGGAAGGGGAGGGAGGAACCCGGCAAAGAAGTCGGCCTCGTTCACGTTCGCCGTGAGGCCTGAAATCGGCATGAGGTCGGAGAGATACGCGAGCCTCGAGTCGGAGGCGAATCTGATCCAGGCGTCGGGCGTCCCGTCCTCGAGACACCAGGTGCAACGATCGGTCTCGACCAGCGTGCTCGAGCTCCAGACCCAGCAGGACATGGATCCACCTTACTCCAAGGTCAGGGACAGCTTGACCCCGCTACCATCCACCCCGCCGTCCTCCAAGACCGAGGAGATATACGCGGAGATCTGCGAGCCTACCACCAGCCCTGCCCCCTCCTCCCCGGAGGAGAAGCCACCCCCTCCGCCGCCCCCGCCGGAGGGGAGGAATGGGACAAGGGAGAAGGACAGAGGTTACGTCAAGTTGGCTTTGTCCCAATCCGAGATATCGAACGTCGGCGAGGAGGAGGAAGGGATTTACAACACCGTCTGTTGATGCTGGGGCAGGAGAAATTTGGATTATTTGAGTTGTTGAGTTGAGCTCGAAAGGGAGAGGGGGATTAAACGAGATCGAAAGATCGTTTGGTATTTTATGGGATGGATTGGGGTTGGAATCGGGGGTGGAAAGTTTTTGTGAAAGTGTCGAAAGGAAGGAGGTAGGCGAGTGTTGGAGGACGGGAAAAATTGGTGTTATCTTCGATTTCGACGCTTCCAATAATTAAATCGCCGAGAAATAATAATAAAAATGTATTTTCGTTTTATAAAATTGAGAAGGAATAAGGAGGCAGTCGAGGGAACCAGTTCCCGAGAAGAAGAACGTTTTAAACTTTCCAACGTATAAACTAAATCATCCTTGCACAGCTCGTAAACATCAACCACATTGAAATGCTCTCAAGTTTTATTCTGCCTTCGGGCGAAAAAGGATCGAGATCTTGAATCGCTCGACACGTTCTGAACATTTTTTTAAAAGACAGTTTCCATCCCAGCTTCAATAAAATTTCCTTTCCAACCCGATCGATTCCAGCAAGTGACACTCTAATTTTATCGAGCAGCTTGGATCGCATTGGCGCAGATCGTAACGACAGACACGTTAACAAGATGAATAAACATGGAAGAGAGAGTCTTTGGCACAGTTAGAATTTCGTTTATACAAACTTGTACAAGTAAAACTATCTAAACTATCATCCCTTGTATCTTTGTGATAATAACTGAAAATATAAGTAATTATTTTTTTCAATAAAAAGAATCGTAATTAAATAGATGAAAATATATATTACGTAACAATATGTTCAAATTATTATTCCTTTTTTCAATAAAAATTTCTTCTTCTTTTCTATTCATTCTCCCAATCTCTAATGGTATCATCGAATAATAACTTTGCCAAAGTTAATACTTCTACAATATTACAATAGCCCTATGTTCCATAGAAACATTCATTTCTAAATTTGTAACCCCCTCTTCTTATTAATCTAATTATTAGACTGAGGATATTTATACAAAATTTATACACGAATAAAAATAAAATATATATATATATATATATAATTCATTCTTCAATTATCTTAATAACATCCCAACGTACGTTGAATATTTTTTTTTTTTTTTTTTTACGTATCACACGTACATATAAACATCCTCCAGTCTACTAATTATCAAGTATGAACCTGCTTGTCCTCTTGTACATCGTATAAACGTAGCTCTATCGTGGTTCATTGATAAGGGACAACGTGTGACTTCCTAGAATCAAGATGGACAGAGAGGGGGAACAAGCGTCGAGGAAGAATTTACAGCGTCATTTGCCGAAGGAATTATCCTCCCAGAGTCTTTTTCTACCCTTTTCCCGAGAGAGAACGGCCGCGTCCTCCACGGGGAACCGGACCGGAAGATTTACAAGGCTGTTGACCGGTGAAAATGATCGCGTAATTGCGGTCCTGGGCGCTCGCGGCGGATGTAGCGGGCCCTCGGCGGGACGCCAACCCGACTTCCGGTTGCATTAAAGGATTCTGCGCTGTGGACGATCGATTATTATTTAGGGACGACCCGTATTCGAGGACGTGTGACGAAGGATATGATTCTTCGTTTGTGATTTATGGATTGATATGCGTACGGTTAAGTGGATATAGAATGAAATATCGTCGACCATGTGTTCGTGACCTGAGTTAAATCAATTTATTAATTTTCGGAGTGTGGTTCCATGATTGATTGGATGATTGAAGCGAATTTGGAATTTTTTTTTTAAATCTAGATTGATGGAAATTTAAATTCGAAATTGGAAATTTATTGATTTATCAGTGTATCTTTTAGATGAGTGAAAATGTTGCGTGACCCATATTTGATAATGTGTAAGAATTTCTTCTTTTGTGATCGTATATGGATCGTATATTTTTTTTTTTTTTTCTTGAGGAGTGAAGAGAATAGAATAAAAAATTGCGTATGAAAGAAATAGTTCCTTCTTGCCTGGTTGTGTGCAAGGGACACGTTTTTAGCAATGATTATTAATTTAGTTTGAAGCGGATTGTTTTCGATATTCGATAAAAACATTTTTTTGTTGTACAATTGTTGGTAACGTTTTAGCGTTTAAGATGGTTTATTCGACGACCAGCGTTTTGTACATTTGTTGATACTGGTTGTGAACACCCACGAGAAACACGATTTGTAATTTTCTTATTGTATAGTTATTATTTTATAATACACTGATTTGCAGTTAAACTGTGTGATGTTTTATTTGGGAAATAATATCCACTTTCAGGCATCTCATTAAATTTATATAAATTTATAATACGTAATAATTTTCAAGATATAAATTTTATAACTTATATTCTAGTAATAAAAGATCTAATCATAATCACTAAAATTAGAGAAATCGAAATCAAGATTAACAGCAATGTAATTTAAATCTTCAAAGAATAATTAATTTCTGAAACAAAGATCTAAGATTCCTCTACATTCTATTTCTGAAGCAAAAGAATCTAATAATTTTTGTATTACATCTTCATCACACAACTTTTCTTCAAAAAATTCTACAAATTTTCTTAAACTCCAAACAAAAATAATAAAATAAAAATAAAAATCCTCTTTATTTCAAGTTGGAACACGTAGAATTTAAATATTGAAATCTTCTTACACAACAATTTTGCAAGAATAATGAAACGTAAATAATCCAAACTTAATCTCCTCTCTTAATTCTAAACAAAAGAAAAAAAGAATTACTCGAAAAGCGTAGTTATTCACAAAAATATCTCTGCAATCGTGGCTAAACAACGCGTTCTAACAAGAATCCCGTTTTCCCTAGGAGCACAATCTCTCGAGCACAACCGTGGTCATTACGCTTTCATCCTGTCCGCGCATCTAGCCGGTTCACCCACGATCAAGAAAATTGAAAATGCAGAGATAAACATGCCGCGGTCTGGCTCTGACTTTGAGGAATAATAACGCGAAACGATCGTCAGCGGCTATAGGTCATTAATGTTTTACGAGCACGTAGAGCGCACAGCTGCGTCCGTTCAATTACAACTAACAGGGGAGCTACGAATACACCTCTTTCTATCTTTCTCTCTCTCTCTCTCTCTCTCTCCGCATTACAAAGAGATACGAATGCTCTTTCTTTCTCTCCCTGTACACACATCTGCACAGAGTCACGAATGCATTCTCTTTCTCTCTCTGCGTCTACGCAGTTTCCACCGACCGATACGCGTTTACGTCCATTAATATTAACGGCTTGAAACAACGATAATAGCGGACAACTATAGGGATCCAGAGGTGATTTTCCTTACCTATGTCGGGTGGACGTTACTGTGGTCTCTGAAAGATGTGTATACGGAATAAGAGATGCTTTGTTATCGAGTGATTCCATCACGTGTGATAGATATCGAGCGTGATGGATATGGATATTGGAAATAATTGGTAATCGATACCTGTATCTTATTACCGAATTTTGGTTGTATTTATGGAAAGTTAGGGTTTTTGGTACACGTTTTATTATAGTTTTCGCGTGAATATTCCATAAAATAGTAGGTTGTTGTCGAGTGATTTCGATTGTGATTCTAGCAAATGAATATCGAGCTTCGAATAATCGATATATCGTGTATCGTGTTATTGAATTTTGGTTGAATTTTTGAAAGAGGTTATGCTCTGGTATCATGTTTCAACGTTCTGAGAAATGTTGGATGGTGTGATATTGAGCGATTTCATGAAGTGAATCCATAAGATGATTCTTTTGCTTTATTTTGTTTTAACAAATTGATTGAAATTCTTTTTTATGAGATATAATTTAGTTCAAAGTACTTATAAGATGAATATAGTACGCTTCATCAATTCGTTAATTTTATCCTCAAAATTTTTATAGACGTTACAATGTATTTTATTATATACAAGAGAATATGTGAAAAGCAGGACAACAGCACCGGACGTGAGTACACAGATTCTTTCATTTAATGCAAATACATAACACTCGACAAACGTTAAATTGTACCGTTCATAGAGTTAGATATCATCATAGATTTGTTATTCTGCAAAAAGACATAATGACGGAAGTCAAAGATAGCATCTAATTAAAAAAATTACATCCTGAAACTAATTAAAATATATAAAAGTTTTTCCATTGTGCATTTTATTCTGAAATCTGTAAATATTCTCTATTTTTTTCTATCTCCTTTATCTTTATTTTCACATAAAAATGCTCTTATCAAATAATCAAGTTCCTTTAACTGTAATTTTATAAAAATAAAAATAAAAAAACTTCACACAATTTTCTTTTTTTCAATCCTGTCTTCAATTACCTATGATTCAAATACCTATTATTACCTATATCAAATTCAAATTCAAAAAGATATATTATATATCAAATAGAGATCTTTATTTTATATCCATCAAATTTAAACATATTCTCTTGTATATTATTTAAACACTTATGTCTTGCTTTATTTTCATTTACATATTTGTCTTATTACATATTTGTCTTACATACTTGTCTTCTTTACTCTGATCTAAATTAATTATCTAAATCACCTAAAATCTTTTTTTTAATCTGTAAAATGTGAAACTGATAAACTTTACACATTCCTATCTTGAATTTTTCCTAGATTTATTAATATTCAATCCAATTAAATTTACTATTCAAACACTCATGTTACTCTACTTTACTTTTGAAAATTATTTATTCTACAATCAATCAAAATCTTCATTTCCAATCATACACTCCAATCCTGAATCTATCCAATGAAATTTATTATTCAAATTCACTTTTGTCCCTATTAACTATTTCACTTTTGGAAAGTTCCACCTTAATCAATTAAAATCTTTTTTCACTCTATAAAATCTAGAAATTGAAAAACACTGCATACAAAACTCTTTCCCAGATCCTTAACCTCCCTTAACCTTGTCTTCTATACTATAATAACTATAAATCTGAAACAAGTATCTCAAAAAAAAAAAAAAAAAAAAAAAAAAAAAAATAAACGTTCTTGCATACTTTACAACTCGCCCCATATTCCATCCATCGGATATCGACGAAAATCGCGAGTAACGACCCATAACTCGTCTGTTCTCGAGATCCATATACCGTTCTCCCTCGGTTTCTGTGCAAACAGTGAATCGCAAGGACGCGATAGGTCGGGATATCGATCGAGACAACGGCGCTATCGTTGCACGGTAATCTTGGTCCACGGGTGCATATTTCAAGATCGGCATGCGTGAACGATCTCATGGCCGTCGGGTTGCCTTGCGGTCGTGTAACTCACCTTTACAACGTTAATGCGACGGCCACGGAGCTCAGCCTATCATATTTCGCGGCCCAGCTTGCTTGATCGACGAGCCGTGTTTTAATATGCAAATTAAAATGCAAATAATCCGCCTACCCTCTCTCCCTGGGGCGCCCATTCTACCACCCCTATCGAGACCCGATCCAACCTGATCGCCATCCCTCATGGTGCAACAGTTCTTGGTGACCCATCTCGTGGATTCCTCGAGATATTCTTTTTTTTTTTTTTTTTTTTTTAATATTTCAATATTTATTTGTTCTTCAATTTCATATTAGATTTCTTTTTTCTTGGATGTTGTTAAAATTAGAAAACGAAGAAGATACAGATTTTTTTATTCTTAATTTTTAGAAGAATCGTTCTTTAAATTTTACGTTTTTCGCAATGAAACCATTCAATTGCCAAGACTCGAAATCAAATTTTCTTAAAAATGATATACGTGATATCAATTATTATTGCTTTCTCCTGTCTATAACAAGTATTCAGGTTACATTTATCATGCAGTCTAGACATCGGCATCGTTCT